TCCAGGCTCTGAGCCATCAGCCCAGAGCCTGGAGCCTGTTTCCGATTCTGTGTCTCCCTCTCTCTCTGCCCCTCCCCCGTTCATGCTCTGTCTCTCTCTGTCCCAAAAATAATAAACGTTAAAAAAAATTTAAAAAAAAAAAAATAAAAAATAAAAACAATAAGTAAATAAATAAATACATAAATAAATAAAGGAAAAAGAACAAATGGTCTTCTTTTGTCCATTCTTGAAGAATGGAGATTTCATATGTGTTATCCTTTGAGTTAAATTTATCCTGATTTAAATTGTCCAGATTGTTTTGGTGTGATATAAGTTCATTTATTCTTGTGAACATTAAGACTTTTCACTCTTACTAACACCTCTGAAGATCACGAAAAATTTTTGTTCTCAGTTCTTTTCAACCTGAGCAATCTTAACTCTTTTATCATAATAACCTGACTAGGTATAGGCCTATTGCTCATATGGAAGATTTCAGACTGAGCAGGGTACTTGAATGTTATTTATTCACTTAGGCATTCACTGAAGTCTGGAATGATTAAAATGGTGATATTTAAATTTCAAATTTCATACATTCCTATTAGAAGCAGAATATGTGACTACAAGTTATCCTTGGCTAAGATGGGAAGTATGTCTCTCATTTCAGCCCACTGTCTTATCACTGGCTTATGGATAGTCATTCTGTAACCTCGTTTCACTCCTGTCCCACCACCCCCAATCCCTACTTGCTGGAAGGGAACAATGGAATAAGATTCGGCCCCTACCTTCCTACCTATGAAGCAGGGGAGCTGGGGATATAGTTGGTCTAGTTAAGCTGTGCATCATTAATGAAGCAGACTAGTTCTGGCTCCTCCTAAACTCTTTTTGATACAACTAGCTAGGTGGAAGGGAAAGGGTGATGAAATATATGTTCGTCTTCCTGCCGTGGGTAGGTCAGTGATTAGACCAAAAGCCTAACAAATAATTCTTCAGAGATTTATTGCAAAACTAAGTTTACAGTTCTGTACTCTCTGGCCGTCTGTATTTTTTCAGTATTGAATGCTGAGTAATGGCTATGCAAATGCAGCTTGAAGCAAATGCAGATACTTCAGTGGAAGAAGAGAGCTTTGGCCCACAACCTATATCTCGATTAGAGGTATGTGCTTTGTTCCTAATTTTGAGATTATAATGCAGGATTAGTGTCTTCTACCTGTTGGGAGAAATCACAGGTTTTACATAAACCATTGGTTTATTGCCTAAGGCTAAGACCTAAATTGGAGTTTTTAGAAATACTGTCAAGGATCCTGTGGAAAGCTTAACATGGTTGCTAAGCATGTCTGGCCAGATCTTTTTTGTTAAGAATTCTTCTACTTTATCATTTTTCTTTCTCAGAGTTGGGTTGTCAAAACCTAAGGAGTCTATGGGTCCCATGATGGAGTCTCTGTGATGTTTATACTACATATGAAATTGCTATCCAGGGAATTACAGTGGCCTGGGCCAGCTCTGCAGGGAAAAGAGAGGACCATTGTCTCTCCATTGACCCGTATCTGCTGAAGTTACTAGCAAGACAGCTGTCATGATCAGAGAGAAGCACTTGTGGTTATTAAGGTATAAGATCCAAGCTCCAATTCAGGACTGCACAAGAGCATCAAGTACCAGAGCTGCGGCCTTGTAGTATTTCTTCCCGTTGTGCAGAGGCCCCGGTGTGAGTGCAGCTGACATAGGCTGAAAGAAGTAGGAGGGAAAGCAGAGAAAGCCTTCATTCTTCTCTTTACACATATTCCTATCATCCGCAGCTAAGCTTCAAGACTCCAGAAGTTAATTTAAATAGGTTTGTGTTAAACATTACAGGGTTCAGAGTCAACTTTTGTTACCATGAGCATCCTTATACCCACACATGGGTTTTGCTTATTGCTTAAATATTAGTAGAGCTTGTTTCTATGGACAGATAATATTCTCTCCCCTCTCTCAAACCTACCCTGACCTGCAAATACATGCATATTCTGCCATTAACCGATATTGTCTCAGAAGTCATGGTTTTGGTGACTAATAAAACCAAAGCTAACCTAGTAATATAGGGAGGAAGAGGTGTCTTTGGGTGGTTTGTTTTGAGAAGTGGTATAGGAGTCCCCAACCAAAAGTAATCCCCCCCCCTTTTTAATGAATAGAATTTATTGTCAAATTGGCTTACATACTGTTTTTCCCATTTTTAAGGTCAGTTGTTAGATCAGAGCTTTCCTGTCAATCATTTTTTATGTGTGCTTGATGTAGAAAACATTGGGAAACACTGATTTTAAGGTGGCCTTTTAGGACCCAGGGTCTGAGGGTTCATTTAGAGTCCCAGTCATAAAAATTTGAGAGTTGCGTGCTTATTCCCAGTGCCTGGGAGTTACTGGTTTGGTCCCGTTTCATGATGGATACATAGGATAGTGCTAGTTTAAAAATTTCTTTTCAGAATGAAAAGGTTGATAATTTGTTATTAAATACCTGATCTGTAGAGCATACTTTTCACAGCTTTTGCATATAATATCACAGTTCTTCAAAATAGCTCTGAAATGGGTAGGGCCAATATCCATATTAGACAGATGAGAGAACTGAAGCTTAAATTTATCCATGGTTTTCACTTGCAGCAATGTGGCATAAATGCCAATGATGTGAAGAAATTGGAAGAAGCTGGATTCCATACTGTGGAGGCTGTTGCTTATGCACCAAAAAAGGAACTAATAAATATTAAGGGGATTAGTGAAGCCAAAGCTGATAAAATTCTGGTGAGTACTGCTTATGTGAGGCATTAGTGGGAATAGTAGAAAAGGATATACAGTGAAAGGTGGCAGTGTTCCTCCTTTCATCCCTCATTGTGTCATCCTGGCCCCCTTTCCAGAGGTGACTGCATTAGTTAACTATATATATGCCTCCTTGCATAAATTGGGAGTTTCTGTCAAGGAAATTGCAGTTTCATGGTATGATATAAATACTGCCAAATTGATAAGTTTGCGTTCCCACCAGCAGTCAGTGGTATGTACCTTATCTTTCTAGAAATTATGATCTCATGCCTTAGAAATATATTCATTAGTTTGTAACCACAAAAAGAGTTTCAAAAAATATTCATTGACATGTTCATGATATAAGAAAGCAGGCTGATAAAATGTCTAAGTGTATATATACATGGTTGATTTGTGTTTTTAGAAATGTGTGTATTTATGTATAACACATGCACAGAATAACTACACTAAAATATGTTATTTCTGGATGGTAAGAATGTGAGCAATTTTTATTTTTGCCTCAATTTTCTGAAGTTTCTGCATTTTCCATAATATGCTTGTTTTACTTTCAGATAAAAAACTTTATTTCTCAAATATTAAAGCCATGTTAATTAGGCTCTAAGCGTGTATAATCTGTTAGTTGACTAATCACAGGCAAGATTCTTTTTTTTTTTAAGTTTGTTTTGAGAGAGACAGAGACCGCATGAATGGGGGAGGGGCATCAAGAGAGGGAGATCGAGAATCCCAAGCAGGCTCTGGGCTGCCAGCACAGAACACAGACAAGATTCTTCTATAATGACAAGAGAGTGTGATTTCAAATCATGCTTTTAGTTTTGTTTTGTTTTTTAACCTTAATGACATAAAGGTGATTTTACTGGCTTAACAGAAATGAGGTAGTAACGTAATAGTCCCTTATATAGCACTTTAACTTTGAAATCCCATCCCTTTCATATATATTCTCATCTGGCCTTCATAACAACACTGAAAAAGATAGGGCAAGTATTATCTCTTAGGCACAGTGGTTCAATTATTTACCCAAGGTCATGCAGGCAATAGCAGAACTAAGACTGGAATCCAGTTATTTTCATCCTATCCTATTCTGATCTTTTCTCATCTCTGTTCAGTGTCTTATAGCTCCTATTAATTTTTCTTCATAATTCTCCATGATTACATTTTATTTTATGCATTTATCCTTTGGTATTTATATACATAGTTTGATTAGCTTTACCATTGAATTTTTTGTTTTGTTTTTTAATGTTTATTCATTTTTGAGAGAGAGAGACAGACAGAACATGAGCAGATGAGGGGCAGAGTGAAACAAGGACAGAAGATTCAAAGCAGGTTCTGCATTGATAGCACAGAGCTGGATGTGGGGCTCAAACTCATGAACTCTTAGATCATGACCTGAGCTGAAGTCAGACACTTAACTGATTGAGCCACCCAGGCACCCCCTACCCTTGAAGTTTTTATAGCATAAAGTAAATATCTATAAAATTGTATTTTCATATTTGTTTTGATTACTATTATAGTTTCACAGAAATTTTTCACTGAAAAGATCTTCAAAGGCTAAAGAATCTTCAAGAAAAACTGCATCTTTTGTTATGGGGTAGCTTCAGTGTATGTACTGCTATGTAACTTAGTCAAATGGACAATATCTGAGATTTGTGAGTACTTATCTCATACATTAATATGTACACAACCTGATGAATTCTGTTTTACTGGGTATTCTACTAAGAGCTTTGAATTTTTTTTTTTAACGTTTATTTATATTTGAGACAGAGAGCATGAACGGGGGAGGGTCAGAGAGAGAAGGAGACACAGAATTTGAAACAGGCTCCAGGCTCTGAGCGGTCAGCACAGAGCCTGACGCGGGGCTCGAACTCACAGACCGTGAGATCATGACCTGAGCCGAAGTCGGACGCTTAACCGACTGAGCCACCCAGGTGCCCCGAGCTTTGAATTTTTAAGCACTGGGAGGAGTGTTAACTTCATTTCTTTAGACCATTCTGTAATAATAATTCAGTCTGGGCTCAAAAATTATAATCCTTGGGGTGTCTGGGTGGCTCAGTCATTTGCGTTTCCGACTCTTGTTTTCAGTTTAGGTCACAATCTCATGGTTCCTAGGATCAAGCCCCCGCATTGGGCTCTGCGCCGATATCTCAGAGCCTGCTTGGGATTCATTCATTCATCCATCCATCCATCCATCCATCCATTCATCCTCTCTCTCTCTCTCTCTCTCTCCCCTGCTCCTGTGTGCACGTGTAGTTTTTCAAAGTAAACGTTAAAAAAATTTGTAATTCTTAATTTAAATCTTTAGAGGAATGATACTGCTATCTATCGAAGTATAAAGTTGTCATTTATTGTATTACTTAAATATGTTTGTTGAATTGGTAACTTAATTGGAAATAATAGTTCTGAGCCCCTAATACCTTAAAGAGTGTTTATCATACTAAGCCAGTGTCTCTAAAGTCTATTTGTTGTTTTTTTTCTGGGCATTAATATTTGTGACAGAAAAAATCCTGACAGAATCTTTGATTATGCCTGTCTGACCTTAGTTTTAGAAATCAAATTAATGTTTTGCTTTTGTGAAAACACAAATATAGACCTGTAATAAAGTGAAATAAGATATGCAGAATGATATAGAGATGAGTCTATTTTTCCATCCTCTCTGATTTCAGACATTTTATATTGTGAGCTTCTAGTGGGTAAAGATTAGTTGTGTTATTTGCTTTTAAAGGTTAAAGAAGGGGCGCCTGGGTGGCTTAGTCGGTTAAGCGGCCGACTTCAGCTCAGGTCATGATCTCGCAGTCCATGAGTTCGAGCCCTGCGTCGGGCTCTGTGCTGACCGCTCAGAACCTGGAGCCTGTTTTGGATTCTATGTCTCCCTCTCTCTGACCCTCCCCCGTTCATGCTCTCTCTCTGTCTCAAAAATAAATAAACGTTAAAAAAAAAAAAATTTAAAGGTTAAAGAAGATTTCTTCAGTTACTGTAACTCTTCCCTCCCATTTCTATTCCCCCAAAGTCTTTGAAATTCAGATTTTCACCAAGAATACCTACTATCATAGTGGAGAAAGGAAAATAAAATCCATTTTCAGTATATCTGTCGAAATGGTTGAGAGAGAAAGATTTTATGAGTGAAATAATTGACTCAGAAGGTGCAAAATTCTTCGGTGGTCTTTTCCACATTTCAAAGTTTATTTGTAATTGGCTTTTGTTGAACTATGTTCTCTTGGTGTACTATGAACAGTGACAGATTCAGCACAGGTATTTTTTGTTACATGTTTTAAAAAATTTTTTAATGTTTATTTTTGAGAGAGTGTGAGCGGGGGAGGGGGGCAGAGAGAGAATGGGAGGCACAGAATCCTTAGCAGGCTACAGGCTCTGAGCTTTTAGCACAGAGCCTGATGTGGGGCTCAGACTCGTGAACCACAGTATCATGACCTGAGCTGAAGTCGGATGCTCAGCTGACTGAGCCACCCAGTCACTCCTATATATTTTTATTTGCTATTCTGTGTCTCGTGTTCAAGAGTTTGGTAGTTCTTGGCTGTAGATTTAAGGGGGTACCTGGGTGGCTCAGTTGGTTAAGTGTCCAACTCTTGATATCAGTTCAGGTCATGATCTCATGGTTCTTGGGATCAAGCCTCAAGTCAGACTGTGAGCTGACAGTGTGGAACCTGCTTGGGGTTCTCTGCCTCTCCCCTGTTCGTGCATGTGTGCTCTTGCGCTCTCGCGCTCTCGCACTCTCTCAAAATAAATAAGCTGCTGAAACATTGCAAAAAAAAAAGCCTATAGATTTAAGATTTCACCTAGCACATACGAAAGTAAACTTATTATGCAAGTGTGAGAGTAAAAGTAAAGTTCTCCAGATTAGGCATTTGCATGGTTTTTACTTAACATTTCACTGTTTACCATTCCGTTCCTGTAGGAGCTGAGTAACTAGAAAATGTGGAGTTAAAATGACAAACAGGGAAAGCATCTCCTGTGTTTTTTCCTTAGTATTTTGTTCTTAAAATTTTTAAGCTTACTGTAATGCTGAAATAATTTATAATGAAAACTCATATACCCACCACCTAGACTCTACCATTAACATTTTAATATTTTTGACTTATCACCTGTCTCTTCATTGATCTATCCAGCAGTCTGTCCATTTAATAGAAGTTACAGAAAGATCATAGAAAAAAGGAAAGAAGTTATCACAGACATAATTTAAGAAAATTCCGGGGCACCTGGGTGGCTCAGTTGGTTAATTGCCCAACTTTAGCTCAGGTCGTGATTTCATGGCTCGCAAGTTCAAGCCCCGTGTCGGGCTCTGTGCTGACAGCTCAGAGCCTGGAGCCTGCTTCAAATTCTGTGTCTCCCTCTCTTTCTACCCCTCCCCTTCCCCTGCTCATACTCTGTCTCTCTCAAAAATAAACAAACATTAAAAAAATTTCCAGAGCTAAAGGGAAGCAGAAGTCTTATATAGTATGACCTCATGGAGTGTCAAGGACCCACACCTAGACATGTGAGTGTGAAATTTCACTATACCAATCATGAAGAGAAGATTCTGAAAGATTTCAGAGGGGAAAAAAAGCAACACTAAAGGAACAGAAAATCAGAAAGACCACATTTCTTTTCAGAAATATAGCAGGTAGAAGCTAGTAGAGCAGTGTCTTCAAAATTCTCAGGGCACATAATTTTAACCTAGAATTCTGTTTGTAGCAGTTTTATTAATCAGGCAGAATAAAACATTTTCAGCAATACAAGAATTCACTTTTTTTTTAAGTTTATCTATTTTGAGAGAGAGAGCATGCATGCAAACAGGAGAGGGGCAGAGAGAGAGAGGGAGCAAGAGAGAATCCCAAGCAGGCTCTGCACTGTCAGTGCAAAGTGGGATATAGGGCTTGGACCCACCAACCGTGAGTGAGATCATGACCTGAGCCGAAATCAAGAGTTAGATGCTTAACCAACTGAGCCAGCCAGGCACCCCAGGAATACAAGAATTCAGAACATTTTTCTCATATCCACTTTCTTAGGAAGGTACTTGATGATATTCTTTTAACAAAATGAAGGTGGAAAACCAAAGATCTTGGTTAGACTCCAACCTAAGAACTCAGTGAGGCAGTGTCTTTAGACAGTAGTCTAGAGAGCAAAGACCCCAGTTTGGAAAAGAAAAGGAACTTCAGGCAGAAGGGTTTCAGTAGAACACATGGTAAGATTGAGAGGTCAGAAAATTTGAGAAATGATAAAATCAGAAAATACTAGAGAAAGACATTCAGATATAAAAGCAAGGTAAATGGAGCATGATTTTGAAACTGCTGGCGTATAAAACAATTCATTTGAATTTGACAGCAGAAGCCTTTGAGAGACATTGAGTTATTGACACTGGAACTTTAGTATTTTAGTCCACCGTTTGATTCTGCAGTGAATAAAATTCACAAAGCTGTAATACAGACATTGTAATGAGTTTTCAAGTGAAATAGTATTAGACTTTTTCTTTGTGGAAAGTTTTTACATTACACGTTTAATGTCAGTACTTGCTATAAATGTATTCAGATATTTCTTTTTTTTGTAGTTAGACTCACACAGTTTATTTTATTGAATTTAGATTCAAGTTCAACTAATCACTTGTACCTTGGCTTGGATTATTTTTCTAGTTGAGTGAGTTTTAATATTTAATAGTTTTTTAAATAGGAATTAGCCTATTTCATTAGTCACGTAATTTGTTGGCATAGAGTTATGATTTTGTAAGCTTGATAGTAATGTTGTCTCTTTCATTCCTGATTTGTGATGAGTCTTTTTATTTATTTATTTTTTTAATGTTTATTTTTGAGAGAGAAAGAGCACAAGCAGGGAAGGGGCAGAGAGAGAGACACACACACACACGTACACACACACACACACACACACACACACACACACACACACACATATTCTGAATCAGGCTCCAGCACAGAGACTGACTCAGGGCTCAAATCCATGAACCGTTGTCTCTTTCATTCCTGATTTGTGATGAGTCTTTTTATTTCTTTTTTATTTATTTTTTTAATGTTTATTTTTGAGAGAGAAAGAGCACAAGCAGGGAAGGGGCAGACACACACACACACACACACACACACACACACAATCTGAATCAGGCTCCAGCACAGAGACTGACTCAGGGCTTGCACCCATGAACTGTGAGATCATGACCTGAGCTGAAGTCAGATTCTCAACCAACCGAGCCACCCCTAGTCTTTTTATTTTTTTCTTTATCTAACTAAAGGTTTATCAGTTTTGCTGATCTTCTCAAAGAACCAAATCCTGGTTTCATTGATTTTCTCTATTGTATTTCTATTCTCTATTTTATTAGTTTCTACTCTAATCTTCCTTTCTTCTGCTTGCTTTGTTTAGTGTACTCTTTTTCTGGTATCTTTAAGTGGAAGTTAGGTTATTGATTTAAGATCTTACTTATAATACTGGCATTGATAGCTATAAACTTCCCTTTAAGCTCTGCTTTTACTGCATTCCATAAGTTGTGGTATGCTGTGTCTTCATTTTCATTCACCTGGAAGTATTTTCTGATTTCCCTTGTCATTTCTTCTTTGACTCATTGGTTATTTAGGAGTGTATCATTTAATTTCCATTATTTGTGAATGCATTTATTTTTAAATTTTGGAATTGATAGATGGTTGAAGACTTGCCAGTGACTGCAAAATAGGATTTAAATGTTTTCAACCTCGACAGTATAAGAGAAAAGGTACAGGTGACAGAGATGGTAAAGTAGATATGGAGGGAGAAGAGACTGAAGGGCAAATGTCCTCATTTAACAAAGTAGAAAGTTAAGAGAGAAAGTCTGTGGTTGATGGAACAGGAAACGAGGACTTAAATATATTGTTGGACTTTGTGCCATATTGTCACATTGGTCATTAAGTCAGGCGAAGTACATATATGTTGGTCTATAATAGTTTTTTGTTTTTTTTATTTATGTGGATGTATTATTTGAATTAGTAATTTCAAAATTAATCTTCTTGGAGTCCCTAAATTAGTTTACCCTTTAGTTGCCAGAAAGATAAAATAATCCTAGAACTAGAACTATTAGTATTTTGATAACTTTATAAAGAGAAATCATTCTAGAAATGTTATTAGATGTTGTTTCATCCTGCTCTACGTCTGGTTCTTGTTTTATTAATAATAAACATATTTTGTTGATTTGACATTACTTAATTTTCCCAGACTGAGGCAGCCAAGTTAGTTCCAATGGGTTTCACTACTGCAACTGAGTTCCACCAAAGGCGATCAGAGATCATACAGATTACTACCGGCTCCAAAGAACTTGACAAACTACTTCAAGGTATGGTAATCCCTTATCCTCTGTTGTAAACTACAGTTAGCAAAGCATCCAGGTCACAGAACAAAACTAAAGTATTTGGGTAGAATTCGTGTGTTAGATATGATTAAAAGATAAGAGAACTATCCACATTGAAGAAGTAAGACTGCTGTAGGGTGGGACCTGAGTTACACAAAATTGTCTGCCAATTAATTAATTCAGTTTCCATTTAATACCACATTCAGAGGGTAAGCTCCCCCTGCCTAAAGAATTAATTATAACCTACTTTAACACAAGGTTGAAAATCTGATAACTAAAACACTCCATGTTTGAAGACTAGGTTATAGTGTGAATCCATGGTAGTACACACTAATACTTAGGACTTTATGGAAAGCTGTAAAGTTTTTTTGAACTTTTGAAAACACTGCTGCCCTAAAAGATTTGTTTCTTAGTGCTTCACCAAATATTTCAACATTTAAAGTTTTCATTTTGGGGAGAGACAAAATAGTATGCAATCAGCAATCACACTCAAATTTGAGTGTTAGCCCTCCCATCTGTACCTCCTCCCAGTATTTACTGGAGGTATTACATGTGCAAATTACTTAATATCTCTATGCCTCAGTTTTATTATCTTCATAATAAGGATAAAAAGACTTCCTACCTTATAGGTTATTGGAATTAAGTGAAATGGTACATATATATGTGTAGCACAATGCTAGATACACAATTAACGATTAGAAAGTACTAGGTGATATTATATCTGTATTTTTTAAGTGACTGCTTATTGACTTGTGATGGTATAGTTCTATATCTCTAGTTAAAGCCACATGTATGATACAGTTACATAGAGATGTACACAGATACACAAATGAGATGAGTATACCTACAGTTGGAGAAATATGACTGTATCACTGACAGCTTTCTGATATTGATACTGTACTGTAATTATATAAAATGTTACACTGGAGGAGGCTGGGTGAGAATTCATGGGATCTTCCTGTACATTTCTTGGCAATTAAAAAGAAAAAAATGTGTTAATGTTTATTTACTTTTGAGAGAGAGAGAAAGAGACAGAGGCATGAGGGGGTAGGGGCAGAGAGAGAGGGAGACACAGAATCTGAAGCAGGTTCCAGGCTCCAAGTTGTCAGCACAGAGCCTGACGCAGGGCTCGAACCCGAAACCACACGATCATGACCTGAGCTGAAGTTGGACGCTTAACCGACTGAGCCACCCAGGCGCCCCGGCAATTTTTCTAGATCTAGAAATATTTCAAAATAAAAAATATTTTAAGAGTTACTGATTGTTGAAAAATGGATTTCCAAATTATGTATACATCTTTTTGATGAGCTCCAAGGGCATTTCTATGATTATTGTTTCTGAATGTTTGTATTTTGCTAAAGGATATTTCTTACTTTAGGAGGAATTGAGACTGGATCAATTACAGAGATGTTTGGAGAATTCCGAACTGGGAAGACTCAGATCTGTCATACATTGGCTGTAACATGCCAGGTAAGCTTTTGGGCTCTAACCAAATCAGCAAAAAAAAGTTGATTCTTGTTATTTTCAAGCATCTTTTGGGATGGAAATAAAAGGCACTTTCTCTATCCCTAAGACTAATTAGAAGGTAGACTTCCTATTGCAGAATTCTTCATTGTGCTAATACTTTCAGATTTTTAATTTCAGATACTTTCTTACCATCCATTAGGCCTCCCCAGGCTTCACCTGCCTTCTTCACTAGTCTAGATTTTATGATTGATCATTAAAGTCATTCCTTTACAAATACCCTCAGATTTACATTCCCCATCAGAACAGATGCCAGTTTTGGATGAACTCTTCTCAGTCTTCTCTGAGAGCTGTCTTCTGAGTGCTTGGTCCCTAATAGCTAATCATACTGGAGAAAAATCATACCGTAAAGCTGAATGTCTGCATTTTATTCATTTTTTTTTAGTGTTTTATTTATTTTTGAGAGCAAGGGAGCAAGCACACAAGCAGGGGAGGGGCAAAAGGAGGGAGGGAATCACAGAATCCAAAGCAGGCCTCAGGCTCTGAGCTATCAGCACAGAGCCCAACATGGGGCTCAAACTCACAAACCGTGAGATCATGACCTGATCAAGTCGGACGTTTAACCAACTGAGCCACCCAGGCACCCCAACTCCTACTGTTTTCTGCTCTACCTTGTACTAAGTATCTTCTCCATTTCTACTTATGCTCTCATTCATAGGAGGATTTGGAAATAGAGATAATTAATTGCCTGAGATCATATTGTATTGAAAAGGTAGATAGAAAAATCAAACCCGACTTTACAAGCCCATGCTCTTAAAACCTTTATAAGAGTAAAACCTGTACCTGCCTTGTTTCCTGCTGTATTGCTAATGCCTAGTCAGTGCTTTGCACTCAGTAAATACTTGAAGCAATGGAGACAATAGATGTCCTAAGACATACTCCTTTGTTTTAAGATTTTATTTTTTAAGAAATCTGTACACCCAATGTGGGGCTCAAACGTACAACCTGAGATCAAGAGTCATCTGCTTTACTGACCAAACCAGTCAGGCACCCCAGCATATACTTACTATAACAGAAATTGTATGGAGGAAGTAGCATAACTTTTTTAGGAAGAGAGAGGGATTACTTCACCCTAAAGTAATCATGGAACACTTTAGAGAGGTAAGGGATTGGACCATACTCCTGAAGAATGCTAAATTTGAGTAGGTAAAGAAATTAAAAAGCATTTAACTAGGGAGTGGTATGTGCAGAAGTGCAGGAGCACAGGGGCATGATATATGGAGAAGACAATAAATAAACCCGTTTATCTAGCTCAGAGGTCTTACTTGGAAAAGTCGTAGGAGATAAACCTTAAAAGGACACATCAAGGTACACCTGGCTGGCTCAGTTCGTGCAGCATGTGACTCTTGATCTTGGGGTTGTGAGTTTGAGCCCCACGTTAGGTATGGAGATTACTTAAAAATAAAATCTCTAAGAGAAAAAAGGACAGCTCAAGAACATGTTTTAGAAGGTCTTCGCTATAATGTAAGGAGTTTACACTCGATTCTGTAAAGAGTGGAGATCATAAAATCTTCCTCAACCGAAAAGAAATAAGTAGGGGGGCTTGGGTGGCTTAGTCCAACTTCAGCTCAGGTCATGATCTCACAGTTCGTGGGTTCAAGTCCCATGTTGGGGTTTGCGCTGTCGGCTTCAGAGGGAGAGTGTTCACATTCTATCTCCCAAAAATGAAACATTAAAAAAAATTTTTTTGAATAACAAGTAATATTTTCAGAAATACTCTGGTAGCAACCTGTTGAGAATTGGAAGGAGAGGCAAAAGCTGAGGATATTTAATGGATGATTATTATAAACATTAGCTGATTGGGTATAAACTAAAATAGTCACATTGAAGAGATACAGGCAAAAGATGTAAAAGGCGGCATTTAATGACTGATGATAAAAAATATATATATCCCTCAGCCCAACAATGTATTAATTTGGTAAACTCTAGAAAGGATTTGGGGGAGAGAGGTAGTTTTTATGGAAAGATTAGTTCAAATTTAGAGAATTGGGTTTGAGGTAATGAGACAACCAAGTAAAATTGTCTAGCAGTATTTAGAGATGGTGTAACTAAGTCCTATGTAGAGAAGTAATATTGGAATCTCAGAAAATGAAAGATCTGAGAAGAGATAAGAAGGATATAGAAGGGACAGTGAACAAATGTGTCACTGTTTTGCAACTTTAAGCAGTGTTTTGAGGAGCCCTTTTTCTTCTTTGGGGTCCTAACATTCCTTGGTTTAAGGGTATGTTGCTGTGAGTAGCTGGCCCAGTGAGTACCCTGGAACCTGGCCCATTACTATGGGTCAACTCTATTAGAATTTTTTGAGGCTAGGAGTGCCTGGGTGGCTCAGTCAGTTAAGTGTCTGACTTCAGCTCAGGTCATGATCTCATGGTTCGGGAGTTGGAGCCCCACGTTGGGCTCTGTGCTGACAGCTCAGAACCTGGAGCCTGCTTCGCATTCTGTGTCCCCTTCTCTCTCTGCTCCTCCCCCCACTTGCATTCGTTCTCTCTCTCTCTCTCTCTCTCTCTCTCTCTCTCTCTCAAAAACAAACATTAAAAAAAAAAATGTTAGGGTCGCCTGGGTGGCTCAGTCATTTGAGCGTCCGACTTTAGCTCAGGTCATGATCTTAACGTTTGTGGATTCAAGCCCCGCATTGAGCTCTGTGCTGACAGTTTGGAACCTGGAGCCTGCTTCAGATTCTGTGTCTCCCTCTCTCTGCCCCTCCCCCACTCGTGCTCTGTCTCACTCTCCCTCAAAAATAAATATTAAGAAAAAATTTTTTTTAATTTTTAAGAATTTTTTTAGGCTTTATTACAGTTTTAGGTATTTTGAAGGAAATGGCATTATTTTAATCTAGATAGATTATACTCACTTCTCCCATGGACACAGCTTATCGATGAAGTTCAGGAACAACTCACATGAAATTTGCCTCTTTATAGCAGTATGACAGAGGAGGGTTACTAGTATCTTTCTATTCTAGTGTGAATTCTTACCCTCTCGACAACAGTAGTTCTTGAAACTCATTTATAAATTGTTCTCTTTTGTGTTTTTTTTTCCTCTTGTAAAAAGAGTTTTGAACTGTCCCTCATAATTTATTCAGTATTTAAATAGTTTATCAAAAATGTTAATTATATCAATGTAATGTGCTATGGTTTCAGATGGTATTACAAGCCGTAAAAAAAACAAACAAACTGATTTTGTGGGGTACCTGGGTGACTCAGTTAAGCATCTGACTTCAGCTCAGGTCGTGATCTCACCGTTCCCGAGTTTGAGCCCCGTGTCAGGCTCTGTGCTGACAGCTCGAAGCCTAGAGCCTATTTCAGATTCTGTATCTCCTTCTCTCTGCCCCTCTCCCTCTCTCTCTCTCTCACTCTCAAAAATAAATATTAAAAAAAAAGAAATACTGATTTTGTTAGCACCCTGTGTCTTACATAAGTTCACATTTTAGTAAGACACATATATGTGCAGAGACTAATATTTCTCAAGTCACCCAACAAAATCTTTATTTTTTTTCATGTTATACATATGTACTTCATTAGTCACAGCTTCTACGTTGAAATGGTGAATGTCATTTCTTGAGATAGGAAAATACTCTGGTTCTTTGTGAATAAAGGTGTTTGGAACAGTAAGAGGCCCAGCTTGATAGTCTCCTGGTTTTTTTCATCATTTACCTTTTTCCTTTTAATTTTAATTATTTAATTCTCATTTTAATTGCTTCTTTTCCTGATTGCTCTACTGATCTTTTTGTTGCAGACCAAATGTCACTGTATGTCTTATGAGACAGCCAAGTTAGAATTCCACTGTCAGGTATACCTGAGCCATTGTTGTTTCTCCTCATAAAGAATTCTGAGGAGGAGAGATTGGGGGTAGAGGAGAACTTTGAGACTGAGACTTATAAAGGGGGAAGCATTGAGAAGAAGAGTGATAGTGAGCTATAGAAGCTGTAGCTTACTGCCTGGGCACCATTAGAAAACTGTTAGCAAAAGGGAAATATAGCACCATCATGTAGGTCGTTTGACAGGATATGTTACCTTTTTAAGTAGAAATGGTTTCTGCATGTTGTTTTGACAGAGATTCATGTGGAATAAACATTTACAGTATATCTGTAGTGGCTAGGGCAACTACGTACACTTGATCTTAGCCAAAAGGCCGAGAAGCAATTAGGGCAACTACGTATATCACGCTTATGCTCTTCAACTGTGCAAACAGAATCCTGTCCTGGGACTATTTATTAAGTAGATTATGCCTGTCAACAATAAACTGAAGCAAAATTCTCAAACATATCCTCTCTATAAAAGTAACTGAACATTCACAACTGACTGAACACCTATAGAGCTTGTTTTGTTTTGTTTTGAGACAAACATGCTAATTCATTAATAACAGAAAGGATTACATTTCACCATCCTGAGACCAGGAACTAGAGGTATAGAGAGGATGTTAGATTACTGCTTGAATCTAAACATTTTCTGCTCTCATTTGTTGAGATTTTCTTAACTTAATTTTACTTCTTAATGAAATAAAATTCCAGTACATTAGATCTCTATCTAATAATGAAGTTATGTAAAGCTGAGAGCCAGAGTTAGATTACAAAAATAAAGAACCCATGTTTGTTCAAAGTACTAGAGATATTTTCAAATTCAGAGAATACAGTTTATCAAAAATTGCAGTTTTGAATGCATATATGCCCTTTGACAGGAAATGTGGCTTCCATGGGGCATCTGGGTGGGTCAGTTGGTGAAGGGTCCAACTTTGGCTCAGGTCATGATGTCACGGTTTGTGAGTTTGAGCCTTGCATTGGGCTCTGTGCTGACTGCTCAGAGCCTGGAGCCTGCTTCAGATTTTCTGTCTCCCTCTTTCTCTGCCCCTCTACTGCTCATGCTCTATCTCTTTCTCTGTCTCAAAAAGAAACATTTAAAAAAAGTTTTTTTAAATGTGGCTTCCACAACTTTCACATAAAGTCAAGAATAAATGTACAAAGAGTTTATACGATAGCATTATAAAATGGTGAAAGTTCAGAACAACCTTCATCACTAAATTAGGAAGAAGGGTGAAATTATGTTACTAAGCAGTTATTAAAAATAGCTAACTTGGTGGTGGTGTCCCAGTCCAGTAACACAAGATAACTGCAGTGGCACTGGAGGGCAAGATGGAGGGGACAGAATGGGCTGGAGTGCAGAGCATGCAGTCCATCCCCTTGAAATTGGCTCAGTAAACACACTGGGACCTTGTCCACTTTTCTGTCAGTCTGCCTACCTATACCCAGCCACCTGTGGTCTCCCTTCTGTCCAAAGAGGTCACATAGCTGAAAAAGAACCTCTTCTCATGCTAGCACTAAAGATAACAAACAGTGAGCAAAATGGGGATCCTCATTCATCTTAATTCCTTAATTTCTTCAGCCCTGAGTCTCAAGATTTTCTCCTCCCCAAAAAGTAAGTCAGCCTTTGCTGTCGTTTTGGCCAGTGATTCCAAACATTTCCTCTGTCGAGACCCTCTTTTGTTGTATACATATCCTTTTCTCCTTCCGTGGATTCTTAGGATTTAAAAGATAACAATCTTTTTCCCCTTTCCAAATTAACAAAGCCTCTGTAACTGAGTGCTAAGGTCAATGCCATAGGGGTAGACATATCATCAGATTTCAAAGTGCTTTCTGTATGTCAAGCACTGTGCTAAACACTTTATGTGAGTTATTTAATCTTCAGAACAATCCTATAAGGTGGGTTTTATCTACATTTTACAGAAAAGGAAGCAGATTAATATTCTCAAGGTCACATGGTAATGGCAGAACCACATATGAAAAGCCTTTGTATGAAACTGCATAGATTATGATCTGGAAGATTACTTCTGGGAGATGGGAGGGATAAAGAAGAGCTTTTAGTTTTTACTCTACTTATTTCTATATTGTGTGAATTTTTAAATCAAGCATATAGTACTTTCATAATTTTGAAAAGGATTTTCTCAGAAATAGGAAAAAGAAATTTTGATGATACTAGGCCCTTAATGTAAAATGTCCTAAAGGATTTTCCTTAGAATTTAAAGGTGAATTATGGCCCAAAGTAGATTTCTAGGGTGGAAAATACCCTTTAGCATAATTCACTTAAAATTTGTAAAACTCAAAGGTGTCTGGCATGGGATGGATAGCCCAAAGCTGAGATTTCCCTAAGTGGTTCATGAGACTGTTTTCGTTTCTTTCCTTTTTCTTTAAACGCTACTTTCCGGGGCACCTGGGTGGCTCAGTCGGTTAAGTGTCCAACTTCAGCTCAGGTCATGACCATGTCATGGGTCATGAGGTCAAGCCCCACATTGGGCTCTGTGCTGACAGTTCACAGCCTGGAGCCTGCTTCAGATTCTGTGTCCCTCTCTCTGCCCCTTTCCTGCTCACGCTCTCTCTCAAAAATAAATAAATGTTAAAAAAAATTTTTTTTTATTTAAACAACTCTCCTTTTTTTCCTTTTGTTCATTTTTAACGCCTGTAGGTACTATTGGAATGAGCTTCTTTTTTCTTTTTTTCTTTAAACTTACAAGTTAACGTACTAAATAATCTTTCAAATGTTTGTACTCCGGGCTCCTAGGTGGCTCAGTCATTTAAGCATCCAACTTCGGCTCAGGTCATGATCTCACGGTTTGTGCATCTGAGCCCCACATCAGGCTCTCTGCTAACAGTGCAGAGCCTGCTTCAGATCCTATGTCTCCCTCAATCTTTGTCCCTACCCCATGCTCGCTCGCGCGCGTGCTCTCTCTCTTTCTCTCTCTGTCAAAAATTAAAAAACGTTAAAAAAAACTTATCTGGGATCTGAAAAAAAATTTTTTTAATGTTTGTATTTTTGAGAGAATTGTTCAGTCTTATATTGGTATGCACACTTAGAATTTTATCATCTACTTTGAACTGTATTTCCAAGCAATCCAGCTCTGGTAGGACTCTGGATTCACTTGGTGTGGGTCACCATGAGCTTCATAATTCCTTGTTTGTACTATTTGTATTTCTCTTAGAAGGGAATGCTTCCTCCCTACTTCTGAGTGTCTCTTTAATGTATTTTTTCTCTTTGCCTAATTGGGGTGAATGGGGAAGTTGATTAGTTATATCAGAAGAAGTACAGTGTTCATTTCCACATTGTTATTTTTGTTCTCTCTAGCTTCCCATTGACCGAGGTGGAGGAGAAGGAAAGGCCATGTACATTGACACTGAAGGTACTTTTAGGCCAGAAAGGCTGCTAGCAGTGGCTGAGAGGTAGGTTACTTGATTAAATAAATCTGGCCTCACCTGTCACTGTAGTGATTGCCAGGTTATTAGTATGTCTGAAGAGTGTCTCTTCTCTTATTTCTGTGTATTCCAGTGTTATGTGTAGTTCAGAAGAATGACCTTCCATAGTAGAGGAAAGTGCTCTTCTTTAAAATCTGTGAGTTATTGTCAGACTGGATAAAAAACTACAACTGTATGCTGTTTCCTAGAGAAACACTTTAGATTCAGAGACACATAGGTTGAAAGAAAAAGGATGGTAACATATTGCATACAAACAGTAACCATAAGAGAGCTGGAGTGGCTATACTAATATCAGACAATATAGACTTTAAGACAAAAAATATGTATTACTAGAGACAAAGAGGAACATTGGGAAAATAGAACATTATAAACATATCCATACCTATCCTCAGGCCCCAAAATATGTGAAACAAAAACTGCCGTAATTGAAGAACAAAATAGACAATGTAACCATATTTTGTTGGGGACCTGTATCTTACTTCAAAAGATCTGTAGCTAGCGTCATACTTAATGGTGAAAGTCTGAATGCTTTCTCCTTAAGATTGGAAGCAAGGTGAGGATGTCTACTCTCACTACTTATATTCTACTGAAGTGGAATATGCTGAATGTACTGAAGGTCCTAGTCAGTGAAGTCAGGTGAGAAAATGAAATGAAAGGCATCCAGATTGGAATGGAAGATGTAGAACTATCTTTATTCACCAGTGACATGCTCCTGTATGTAGAAAATCCTAAGGAATCTACATAGACACAAAACTGCTAGAACTAGATTAGTTCAGCAAGGTTGTAGGATATAGTGTCACTATGCAGAAATCCATTGTATTTTCATATACAAGCAATGAACAGTTCAAAAATTAAAAACCCAATTTCATCATTCACAGCACTGAATTCCATTCACTGTCAAAAAGATCAAAATAGTAATAATTTCAACAGAAGACTACAAAACATCGATGAAAGAAATTGAAGATCTATATAATTAGAGAGACAGTCCATCTTCATGGATTGGAAGACACAGTATTACTAAAGTCTTAATTTTTCCTCCAACTAATCTATGGATTCAGCACAATCCCTACAGAAGTTTTAGGAAACTTTTTTGTAGAAATCAACAAGCTGATTATAAAATTTATATAGAAATGTCTAGGATCCAGAATAGCCAAACCATTCTTAGGGTGGAGGAGGTGAAGAGAAAGAACAAAATTGGAGGTCTTGGTCTTCTTTATTTTAAAATTTACTATAAGGCAACAAAAATTAAGACAGTGTGGTACTGGCATAGGACAGACATGTGAATCAGTGAGACAGAACTGAGAATTCAGAAATGAGCTCTTTAATTTATAGTCACTTGATTTTTGATAAAGATGCCAAGACAATTTAATGGTTCCCAAATAAGAGTCTTTTCAGTAAATGGTGCTAATGTTGGGTATCAACATGCAAAAAGATAAATTTAGACCCTTAAACCATACATAAAATTGACAAAAATGGATAATAGTCTGATAACTCTTCAAAAAATTAAACAGAATTATAGTATAATTCAGCAGTTCCACTTGTGAGTATATGCTCTAAAGAATTGAAATACAGACTTCGGTACTTGTACACCAGTGTTCATAGCACTAATCACAATAGCCGAAAAGTGGAAACAACCCATTTATTCATCACTAGATGAATGGATAAACAAAATGTCATAAACACACAATGGAATATTTTTTAATCTTAAAAAGGAAGGAAATTCTCATACATGATACAACATGGATGAATATTGAAAATATGCTAAGTGAAATAAGCCAGTTACCCAAGGACAAATTATATGATTCCTCCTATTATATGAGGTACTTAAAGTAGTCAGATTCATAAAGGTAGTAGAACAGTGGTCCCCAGGAGCAGGAGGTGAGGGGAATTAGGAGTTATTATTTAAGGGATACAGTTTTAGTTTGGGATGATAAAAAGTTGTGGAGATGGATGGTGGCGATGGTTGTACACCATGGAAATGTACTTATTGCCACTGGACTGTACATTTAAAAAAATTTTTTTTTCAACGTTTATTTATTTTTGGGACAGAGAGAGACAGAGCATGAACGGGGGAGGGGCAGAGAGAGAGGGAGACACAGAATCGGAAACAGGCTCCAGGCTCCGAGCCATCAGCCCAGAGCCCGACGCGGGGCTCGAACTCACGGACCGCGAGATCGTGACCTGGCTGAAGTCGGACGCTTAACCGACTGCGCCACCCAGGCGCCCCACACTTTTAATTTTTAAGTACACTGTTGCAGTAGCTGAGTTTTTTGAGTTAGAATTTTGCCCAGTAACATAAATGAGTGCGCAGATAGGATAGATGAGATAGTAAAATGTTGGCTATGAGGACAGGGCTTTGTTTTGATCACTCACTGTCTACCTAAGCCCTAGAAAAGGGCATTTGGCATTTATTAATGAATGTATTAGTATTTATTAATTAGGGCCATGTTTATGGCTGTTTTGTCAACTAAAGGAAAAATGTTTATTGTACTTTTTTAAAGGTTTTCTTTTTAAGTAATCTCTACACCCAACATGGGGCTCAAACCCACAACCCCAAGATCAAGAGTTGCAAGCAAGGAAAAATATGTTTAAATAAAAATGTCAGTCTATTTTATCACTTCTACCTATCAGAAAACTTTTTGTAATTGAATTTCTGTTTATGTATATTGCGTTTACATTATAGTTCTGAGAAAGTAATAGCACTTCCTTCAGCTAGTACCTAATTTCCCTTCACAACAGAACAACCCTCATTTTAGTTGTTGAAGAATACTGACCCACATCCAGGTTACTGTAACTCAGGGCTTCTCCAGAATACAGTCCTCAGTATAGCTGCATTAGCATCACCTGGGCACTTGTTCACAGTACAAATCCTCTGACTCCACTCACATTCTACTGAATCAGAAATTGTTAGGGAATCAAAATAGGGTCCAGCAATGTTTTAACAAGCTCTCTAGGTGATCTGGATGCTTGCTAAAGTTTGAAAGCCATGACCATAATTGCTAGCTACAGTGTCACCACCTTTTTTGAAAGTTCTTTTAAATACTCTCAAAGAATGCCAGAACCCCCTTGAAGCCCATATAGCTGTTTTTCATACTTACGTGTTAAGAATCACCTGAGGTATTTGTTAAATATATAAATTACTGTACCTCTTCCCCCCAAATTGTGATTTATTAAGTCTTGGTTAGGCCCAGGGAATTTTTTTTTATAAGTGTTCCAGGTTATTCTTGAGGAAGTTCTGGAGACACTATGAGAGGATACTTATTTCTAGCCAACTTTTTCCATGTTATGGGAATTGAAAATTCCATGTACTGCTTCAGGAATGTAAGCATCGAGATCCCTGTAGTGTTTCTTGTGAATGCTGCTGACAGGCCAGAGTAACTCTTTGTTTTTCTGGTGAACCATCCTTATTCTTATAGTAAAAGATACTTTCCTGATAGATGATGTTAATGTTTCTTCAGCAAATCTAGACTTGCGTAGTGCAGTACTTAGGCCTCTTGAATCTTTTTTTCTTACAGCCATGATTTAAATATGGAAAATTTTATCTCCAGTTTAACTGGTCAGGATTCCAAGATAAAACTCTATCCTTATTGCATCTCATTATCTTCATGCTCAGACTTAACAATTCATTATCATCAATCCACTTAATGCCAAAGCTGAACACGTACTTGTGTTGATAATGACAAAGAATAGCAGGTGAAATGTCCATAAAGTATAAAGATGATGTGGAAAATTCAGTTGGTTAGAGTGAGATATCCTGATATTGAGGTTTACCTCATTGCAATGCTCTATCCAAGTGCTAGAATATTCCTGTTTTTCTGTTCTGTTGGGGAGGAAAAGCCAGAGGAAAACTGTTAAGCTAAATCTCAGAAGAATAGGTTTAATGCAGTGTATGCTTTTGTAAAGATCAGAGTCTCCACATAGACTGCTTCTATAAAAGACTGACAGGATCATAAACATAGAAATTTATGGTTCTCAAAGAATTACAGTGCCTTGATTTTGTTTAAACAGATTCTCTTTTAAACTATGACATAAGTGAGTTGGTGTACTTTTGAACTGTAATGATTTTAGGTGACGTTAATATGAAAATATTACTTGGGTATAGTGGTATGGTTCTCTTTGGGTTATAGATAAAAGCTTTATTCAGTAACATTTATTCAGAATTTACTAGGTATAAAAAAATGTGCTAGATAAGAGAGGCCAAGTTTTTCCCTCAAGAAATTTGTAGTCTAGTAAAAGAATGGTAGGGTGGCTCCTCAAAAGTGCCATATGAAGTCCTAAACCAAATTTTCTAGAAGTGCACAAGAGGGAGAATCACATCTATTTCAGAGGTGCAGGGGGAACCTTTGTAAAAATGCAGGCATTTAGTTTTGTCTTGATAGATGGATAAAATCAAAATATCTTTGAAGAAATGGGTCTCCATTATGGTATATTTAATGAAAATAAAAGTTGTCCTACTCATACCACTTTGAGCATTCAAATCTTAGGGTAGCAGTTAGAGAGGTATAAGAAAAAAAAAGATTATTCTAAGAAAATAGAAGATATCTTACTTGCCTTTTTTTTTTTTAAGTTTGAGACAGTAAGAGAAAAAGGTCCTCTTATATGCTAATGCAAAAGGAATGGCACCTGGGTGGCTCAGTCAGTTGAGTGTCTGACTCTTGGTTTCAGCTCAGGTCATGATTTCATGATCATAGGATTGAGCCCCAAGTCCAGCTCTGAGCTGTCAGTGAGCCTGCTTGAGATTCTCTCTCCACCACTCTCCTGCCCCTCCCCGCTCTCATGTGCATGCGCTCTCACTCTCGCTCTCTCTTTCTCTGGAAATAAACTTTAAAAAATGCAAAGGAAAAAATCATTATTGAAGCACATGATGAACTAAGGTATCACTTATTTAACCATACTGGATACATGTCTTATAATCTATCTTAACTGTAACTGGTTACTAGCAAGAAAAGAAAATAGAAGAAATGAAATACAGGAGTACCTGGGTGATTCGGTCAGTTAAGTGTCCGACTCTTGATTTTGGCTCAGGTCATGCTCTCACAGTTTGTGAGATAGAGCCCCGGGTCAGGCTCCATCCTGACAGTGTGGAGCCTGCTTGTGATTCTCTCTCTCCCCCTTTCTTTGTGCCTCCCCTACTCGCTTGCTTACTCTCTCTCTCAAACTTTAAAAAGTGAAAACCTTTATTTAAAAAAACGAAATACACTTCTCTTGAACTTCTTCAAGTTGAGTCTGTTCAGAATGTTTTATTCCTGTATAACAATAGTTTACATGAATTTAATTGACTTGAATGATGATTTGTTTCAGTTCCAATTCTGTCATGTTGCTTTGGTTTTTCCGGGAAACATTTGGAACATTACATTTAAAAATTTCTTATTTTGGCTCAGGAGTCCTCAAAGACTAAATTTGATTTAGTCTGAAGTCCTGCCTGGTAGATCTACTCCTTCTACTTTTAGTAAAAAAGGAATTAATATTCTTTGGTCATAACATTTCTTGCCTAATCATCCAAGTAATTTCTTTGTTAATTTCAAGTCTGCCTGAGTTTTGTGTGCAGTCTAAAAATGTTCTCTATTCTCTTCTAGATATGGTCTCTCCGGCAGTGATGTCCTGGATAATGTAGCATATGCTCGAGGGTTCAACACAGACCACCAGACCCAGCTCCTTTATCAAGCATCAGCCATGATGGTAGAATCTAGGTCTGTGCTCAGTAGAAGACATGGAATATGTTCCAGAGTGCTTACCCTGAATTTTATGTAGGCTGTGTGACAGAATTGATAGTAACTTGAATTAGAAAGGGGAGGTGTAAGTTTTAGTTCCACATTCTTGCATTGTGGGTTCAGGTCAAGTCGGTGTTAAAAAAAATGAAACCACTGGGCACCTGGCTGGCTCAGAGGAGCATGCAACTTTTGATCTCGGGGTCGTGAGTTTGAGCCCCACGTGGAGTGTAGAGATTATTTCCAAAAAAAAAAAAAAAAAAAAAAAGATGAAGCCATAGTCCACTTGAACTTACTGGAAATTTTACTTATTACATAGTGCCTCAGACGTGAATACTGTACAAATATTTTAATTAACACATTTATGTACGAATATAACTATGAATATGAAAGTTTAGGGTAGTAAGGAAGGGAGCAGAATCTGACACAGGCTAGAAATAGGCTTCATAGAGTCCTTGTTTCCTATAGGTATGCACTGTTAATTGTAGACAGTGCCACTGCCCTCTACAGAACCGACTATTCGGGTCGAGGGGAACTTTCAGCCAGGCAGATGCACCTGGCCAGGTTTCTGCGGATGCTTCTGCGACTTGCTGATGAGGTAAGTTGTGGGATAGGGACAGACCATGCCTAAGTTTCAGGGTCCTTGCTGGGAGATCAGAACATCAGTACCTGGTGTCATGAAGATAACAGATAGGAAGAGATATATATATTAATCATTCTTTACTTTGTGGGGAAAGGGGTGGCAACAGTAGGGTTCTTTGAATATCTGGCCACAAAAAATGACATTTATTGTTTCCCCCATCAGTTTGGTGTAGCAGTGGTGATCACCAACCAGGTGGTAGCCCAAGTGGATGGAGCAGCCATGTTTGCTGCAGATCCTAAAAAACCTATTGGAGGAAATATCATTGCTCATGCCTCAACAACCAGGTAAAGTGATGGGATAAGCGATTTTGTCTTGGGGTGTCATATTAACTGAAGTAAACATGAAGATATAACATTTCCATTAAACCTGGTTAAAGCTTTTGTTGTATAATTAGACACAGGAGCCCTTGCTAAATCTAATTGTCGTGCCCTGGTTAGTACAGATGTTTGCTTTTAGTTTACAAAAGAATGAAAAGCCCCCAAATATGAAAGAATGAATATGAAAGATAGGCCTCTTCCTTGTTAGTAAAAAAGTAATTATTTCAAAATGTTAAATTCACTAAGGTAGGGGCAGGATAGAAGTTGATTCCTCTAGGTTGTAAATGTCCCTAAGGAATACAGAAAGATCCCCAAAGTCCTAGGAAGTATATATATCTGGAAAAAAATTCATATCTACCATAAATAGGAAAAAGATTTTAAAATTATAATAACTTTGGTCTGTTTCTTTGGGTCAGACTGTATCTGAGGAAAGGAAGAGGGGAAACCAGAATCTGCAAAATCTACGATTCTCCCTGTCTTCCTGAAGCTGAAGCTATGTTTGCCATCAATGCAGATGGAGTGGGAGATGCCAAAGACTGATTCATTGGGGCTTTTCCTGTGATAAAGCTTAAGTGCTACAGCCTAATGGAGAGGACTGCTCCCTGGGTCTTCTTCACAGGCCTCTTCCTGTTTTCCTGCCAGAAAAAGGCTTCTGGAAAAACACCTATTCTATCAGCTTTTCTGATGGTGTAAACAGGAGACAGGTCAGTAGTCACAAACTGATCGGAAATGTTTATTCTGTCTGGAGTTTATTAATGTCTATGTGAATTATTTGGGGGGAAGTAAGGAAGATGTTTGACATCGTGCCTTAGGGTCGACTCAAAACTAACAGATGTTCCCCTGGCCAATCTTTAGTTCCCTTGAAGACAAAAGCTGGTGAGACTGGACTCTTCTCTATCTGAACAATGTTGAAATGCCTGGGTGGCAAAGGAAGTAGGTCTCCTCACTGGTGTGTTTTTTTTGTTTTTGTTTTTTTTGTTTGTTTGTTTGTTTTTTTGTCAGTAAAACTGTCAGAAGTAGGTTTTTAAGTTAGTTTGCCTGAATTATAGAAGAATTTGTTTTTATTTAAGGGCTACTGAGCAGGCCTACTGGGCTACCAGCCCTTCAACATCTATGTGCTTGTTTTTTTAACTGCTAAGAGTAACTCAAGATAATTCTGGAATCTTAATCATTTCAGAAGCTCTAAGTAGATTTAGTGTGGGGCTACTAATAAAGTAGTTATTTGTGCGGTTTATAGGAGTTATTTTGGTGTAAGCTGAATATTTTGAGAGGGCCTTCAAAATAATTTATTGGCACTAACTGATCAGTTTCTATTGCTTTAAAATTAATTTTAAAGGGAAGCCATACATTCAGATGATTTAGCTTACTAGCCTTCAATGTAATAGATATTACAAGATGAATATCCAATGACTTTCCCATGGCCTTTGTATTAAGCTTTTGTTATAGACTCCTGATACTTGTCCATACTATTCTACTTGAGGGGTTTGAGATACTTCTCTTCTTCCCCTTCAGACTTCCACTCAGGTTGAATTTTAACCAGCTTTTCAAATTTCAGAGGGCCTCTCGGCTAGTATTGGAAGGAGAGGCATAGAAAATCTCTGCTGTTGCCTGTGTTGATCCTACTGTATGTAGGGAAATAGGAAGACACAGTCAATTTAATGCAGCTTTGTTTAAAGAATGGAGTACCTCTCAGGTCTTGTCCTTCATTTCTTTACCACAAAACAAACCTGGGATTGTACATATATACATAGTAAGCCAGAGTGGCAGATTCTGGAATGGAAGTAAAAGGATTTCAATCCTTTAGTCCTATAAATTTGTCTGAATTATCACAGGTGAGATTAGGCTTTGTGCTATTAGCTATAAGAGTCAACTAGTTAGAATAGACCTTGGCCAGCCTTTTTTACTTGTAACTAAAATTTCCACTGAAAAGAGCTTAAACTATTAGGTGCTATTTGTCTGCAATAGCTTCTGTAGTAGGAAGTAGTTATGGAAATGTCAAGCAAGAAAGGGGAATATAGTCACTTCCAATCAAATTTGGTTTATTTCAAGTTTGTACCAAAATATATTCCAGGCAACTCCTCAGATCATCATTTCACAGTCTCCTGTCGTATGCACTGTGCCCTTCTAAAAGCTGCTGGGATTCTATTCCGGAAGTCAAGTGTTCCAGCCCCTCAGCCCAGGAATATAGTTAGAATTCACATGATAGGGGAGAAGAGGGCAATATTCTTGGGCTGCTATGACCTTTCCTTTTACCATGATAGGGTATGGTTTTAGGACTATATACTTTGGTGTTGAATATTAATCAGTAGAAAAGATTAGAGAGTACAAGTTCTGTGTTTTGTTCCCATAGCTCTTTGAAGTTCATCCACTTACAGGCTAAAGGCAGCCTTCGGTGCTAGTCTTGGTTTTTCAAGAATTCGCTTAAGAGAACTACAGAAATCCAGGCCTCAAGTACTTCCCCAATTTCAGATTAGATAAGGGATTAGAATAAATTAACCAGTGGGCAAGGAAAGAAATTGGGGAATGGTTATAGATACCAGCCAGGCTCGGGAGTCAGGACCCTCACTTAAGCAGTCTTAGAGTCCTGATCTAATAAGCAGGGCAGTCTTCCTCAAGTCATGAAGGCCACTGAAATATGATTATTCTCTTAAAATTACTTCCAATTCTTCCAAGTCTTTCTGGAAAGCTGAATCCTAAGGAGACAAGAGAATAAAGCCAAAACTAGACCAGAACTTGAAAATCTAACATTTCCCCAACCACTGATACCTGAGAAGGGCCCTTTGCTTCCTTTTTACCTACTTTCGCAGGACAGCCTATGAAATCTGCCTCCTCCCCTAGGTGAGATATATATAAAAGAACCTATGTACAATTTTCTAGGGAAGATTCTTTCCTGACAAAAGGTCACATGATTCAAGGGCTCTTCAAAGTATTACCTCATTGGTGACATCTGGCAGCTCCAGGGCTAACTTCATCCACTGTCTAGCTTCAGGGTTTTTTCCTAGTTCTCTGTAGCACTGAAAAGATACAACAGTGAAAACCTGGGAGAAATACCACCAGAACCTGGACTTTCAGGACTTCCCACAAATAACATGTTTTCATCGATGTTGAAAAAGGCAGGTGAGTTTACCTTGGAAATATATACCCTCCCTGCTTTGGAAAATCCTGGCTGTAGTTCTTCAGCCTAGAAAAGGGAGGAATGCGGTTCAGTAAGGGGATTACCATGTTCAAGTCAGGCTGAGGTTTATTAAATAGAGCTTTCCAGTTCCCAACCCAAAGACTGATCCAGTCATCCAGGGAACTCTCTAAGCTATCCAAGTGGTTCTGATTTTCCCATAGAAAATTGCCCCCTACCAGAAATCTGTCCCTTCCTTCCCGATACCTTTAGGAAGCTCTGGAGGGCATCCTGCACAGTGGCACTGAGAGGGCTTTCGAACAAGGCTGTAGCAGTTTTTTTCTCTAGCCAGCTCAGGTGAGAGACCTGCCACCAAAAGAGCAAGGTGTAAATTTAAGAACATCAAACATTCTGTACTTAAAACATGGTCAGATAGGGCTGGGTCCAGTCACCCATAACACAACCATTCAGAGGAAATGGGTACTTGAGCCAGACCAGGCTACGGCCCCTGCTTGCAGGTTTTCACTGCAAGGATAGCAGTGTCACGGGACACTTAGGGCCTTGATACCAGGCCCCAGAATTTAGCTTACCTGGTAGCACCACCTGCCAAGAAGAAAGTGAGCCATAGGGTTTTCTGGCTGGAGAGCAATGGCTTTGTCCACATGCTCCTGAGGGGAAAAATGTAAATCTAAACTACCATCAGAGTTGCTAAGGGAAGAGCAAGTCGTAGACACTGCAGGAGCACCCTTTGCAAGGAGCTGGGATAGAGCAGGCAATCTGGAATAGAGCAGTACAAGGGAAGGAAGAGAAGCCTTTCCTCACCTTGAAGCTAAAGCCACTCTGGATGCGCCTCTGGATGCTCTCATGCTCAGCCAGCTGACCACAAAGCACTGCATACCTAAGGGGGAAAGTGGCAGCGAGCTCAAGGACAAGGAATGGGCTTCTCATCAACTGCCCTCTACCCCCCTCAAGTAGAGCTGAAAATAGCATTTTTATATGTATAAAACTCTCTTCATAAATCTGTAGTCCCAATTTATATTCTTTAACAAACACCGGTAGGCTCACAATTCTCCAAAGTATGCTAGGTACAAAAAAAGTGGGGTCCCACCACAGTAAGCTTCTCCTACTTAACATTTAGGCAATGTCTCAGTCCAAATCTCCACTAATTTCTCCATGTAAGGAATATAGCCATGGCGGGGGGCATAAAAACTTAAAAAGTGGATCTAATAATCATCAAAACGTAAGGGACCTAAATACATTGCTTATCATCTCCTGAGCAGACACTAAAAGGTCTACGTTAGCTTTAGAAGTATTTAAGTATGTCCCTGGGAAGCTGTACTCATGGACACATTGGGATGGGATACTCTAGGAAATTCTAATGTTAATTTGGGAACCAACAGAAGCTGATGAAGACAGGCTTCAGATTTTTTTTTTTTTAATTTTTTTTTTCAACGTTTATTTATTTTTGGGACAGAGAGAGACAGAGCATGAACAGGGGAGGGGCAGAGAGAGAGGGAGACACAGAATCAGAAACAGGCTCCAGGCTCTGAGCCATCAGCCCAGAGCCTGACGCGGGGCTCGAACTCACGGACCGCGAGATCGTGACCTGGCTGAAGTCGGACGCTTAACCGACTGCGCCACCCAGGCGCCCCGACAGGCTTCAGATTTATATCCTCCCACCCAATCAGGGAACAAAGCCAGCCAGCTTTCCATCTTCAAAAACAAACATCTTACTACCCTATCTCCCCAGCATTGTTTCTAGAAGCACAATTGACATTAAATGAGTGTGTACAGACCCAAGTTGCCTTTTCATTTATTCACTTAAATATCGGGGGCATCTGTATCGATACTTCCAGAGGCTCATTTCCATATTTCCTCCCAAACAGCTGTTCTCCAAGAATAAAGTGTAAGGCTATTTTCTATCCTGGGCAGTCCAGGAGCCCCAAGGAAGAACACAGGGAAGTGGCACCAAGGACCTGATCTCTGCGAGGAGCTCTTGCAGAGACAATCTAAGGGCAGAAATATGGAAAGCAAGGGGGAGGTGGGAAGAGAATTTTCACTAAAAACTCTTGAGGTGCTGGAAACAGGCCCTAGGACACCAGTTGGATTTGACCCGTGGAAGTTGGCAGAACCTTGCCTGACAAAGACCACAAACAGGGTTGATGTTTTTGTAAGCTGATAAACTAACTCATGCAAGCCAAGCAAAGAAGCCAAAGTCCACCACCAGCCAGGGATTGCAGCTAGGGGAAGGAAGAGCTTGTGCAGGACAAACTACAAACTGTGCCAGCTTCCTTGAAGAGCCAAGAACCCACAAATTTTGTAGCTAGGATAACTCTTAAAAAGCTATGCGTTTCTCTAAGTCCCAACAACAAATCCTATTTCCCCTTGCCTCACTCCCAAGGCACCTTCCAAAAATCGACCCCCCCCTCCCCCCAGGTCCCTGCTCCCTCTCCTGTCTCCTTTGGCAAGCGCCTTTGTGGTCAGGGCAGAGAAACGGCTCTCTTCCACTCTAACTCATGCTAACTCTTCCCACAACCCTGTAGATTATTACCACTGGTGACATTCAGCATTCTCATCCCCCTTCTCCAGAGCAGCCTCTGCCTCTTCTTTTCCTGTAAGACAAAGGTAATCCAGAGTTGACAAGGGTTCCCATGCACACTTCCACAGCAGGGGCTCTGGCAACAATAACTGCTCTAGCTCTTACTAATCCCTATCCTGGCTAGATTTGTTTGAAATAATTTTCAGTTTGAACAGAATGAAAAACTATAAATAGAGCGAGGTGAAGCAGAAATTATCCCTGAGAAGCTTTCTGTCTCTGTCATCAGCTGCCCAGCTACCTTTTGTTTTGTTTTGTTTTGACAGCATCCACCTGATGTGCTCAAAGCATTTTAAACTTTTTTTTTTTTTTTTTTTTTTGAGAGAGAGAGAGAGAGCACAAGCTGGGGAGAAGCAGAAAGGGAGACACAGAGTCCGAAGCAGGCTCCAGGCTCTAAGCTGTCAGCACAGAGCCCAATTCAGGGCTAGAATCCACACTGTGAGAGCCAAAGTCAGACACTTAACCAACTGAGCCACCCAGGTGCCCCTCAAAGCATTTTAAATATAAAACAACCCAATGGCAAACTATTCCCAACAGACCTTATCTTAGAGGGTTGTGGACAGGCTTCAAGGTGTCCATGTATTCTCTGGAGTTGTATAAAATTTTACCTACAGGTACATTTTATTGAGGAGAGGGCCTACAGCTTTAATCATTCTCTAATGGATCTGTGTTCCAAGATTAAACACAGCTCTAGATCAAAAC